CTACGCCCTGCAGACACGAAAGTTTCCATAACTTAGGGCAACAAAAACAACACAACAGCCGAGCAGATTTTTGCCACTCAAACTGTTTGTAGTTTCTCTTTGCTTTTCCATACGAGATCTCAGACTACAGACATGAGAGCAGGTTTTTGTGCTTGCTTGCCTTCTCAAGAAAGCAATGGGCCACACTTTATTTTAAGACCAGCACACCTACTGATTTGAGGGGTTAAATCTCTGTTCACACAATGCCAGCGTTGGGTGAAAAAATGACATCCATGCAGAATGGAAAATAACAATGACACTGTTGCTGCATCCGGCACAAAGGGCCCTTGGTCTCAAAAAAGTGTTTTTCCAATGTCTGAATATGAGAAGGGAGGTTGTCTTATCATAAGGGTCATCAGAGACCAAAATTTCTGTTTTTTTAAGACTATGTAAAGACGGATAGTTTGTGACTTCAAATGCTGGGTTGCAACCAAATTCCTTATTTTTCTTGTTTTAATAATAACTTCAAAAACTTGTGATGAAGGGATGCTTTTTCTTTGGAAGGATTGTTTGAGGTTCTCATCATTAGGAACTGTGTTACTCCCTGAACATCTCAGCCCCTTTGTTAAGAGCTGGAAAAGCTGTAAAGTTACAGATCTTATAGAGACAGGATCAACTCTGCCACATAATTAAGCTTCACTAAAGAGAGTCTGAGCCAAACACTAATGCTGGTGTATATGTACGCTTTATTTTTAAAAGTTCCAGCACTTTACATTGCCATCAGAGAGCCTCTTTGTTTTCGCACCACCTGCAGGTGCAGTACTTTCTCTTTCCTCTACTATAACCTTTCCTGTGTTGTCACCTTTTGAACACACACCCCAATTCTGTGGTCTACTTAAGCTGCGAGATTCCAGTCTCTCCCTCTGCTGTGCCACAAATGCTCTGCACCTGTGCTGCATTTACACGCTCAGCCCCAACACTTCCCCAGCACCCACTGACAGACTACAGAGGTTCTTATTGTACACGTCAAATGTTCTGCATGGAAATAAATCTGAGAGAAGTGTTCAAGTTGGAGCCCAAACAAACAATGTTCTGCTCCTGTAATAAACAGCTGACAGGAGTTGCTTTATTTGCAATTCTGTGTAAAGATTAATGTTAAAGTGATAAAAAAAGAAGAGATCTTTGTATGAACAACAAAGAGAGCAAACATTCACTTTGCAAACAGAAGTCACCAAAATAGAAACAAAATCAATGTCTCACTGTTTTTTTTTTTACTTTCATACTGAGAACTTGATGTACCAAAGTTATCAGCTGATTTACCCCCTGTGATAAACTGACTTCAAAGCCAACACACTGCCTCAAGTCCTAATGCTGACGTGATCTTAGCATGAAGTTGTAATGGTGCCTTTCACAGATATAAAGCCTCTTCAGGAGTTGTAGCCTGTTGAATAAGAGGGTAAAAATCTACGGCCCTCATAAATCTGGATGGAGTCACTGTTGGGGATGCCAGCACAGGGTGTTGTGCCAAAACCAGACAGGGTCATCCAAAGTTAAACCAGGCTCAACTCCAGAGCTTTGTGTCATTGAATCCCTCCAGGAATGTGCACCAGCATGTTTTTGAGCAGCCCAGTTATTTACATGTAAGAGCTCATTCTAGTGGATCAATTAGTGACACAAAAGTTGTATTTCCACAAAGCTTGTTTTGCTTTCATTGCCTGAGGGTTTATACCAGAGCTGTTTTTGTCCTGACTCCTCAGGCATGTTTGAAAATTAAAACCAGTTATTCAGTAAGTTTTTTACATTTTTTTATCATCACATTAACACATGTAATATTCTCTGTTTTCCATCACTGAGGTTTTCTCATAAAAGTCTTGTCTGTATGCTGTGGCTCCTCATATATATAAATGCTGTTTGACTGGCTGGATCATCACCATACTGGTCATGGTATTCTGGAAAAATGTATATATGTATATCACAGTCCTGTCTGTTATTACTTGTCTAATTTTGGTCGGTATCACTGTTAACAGAGCGTCCCGCCTATTTGCAATAAATGTTGTGTACAAGTGTCCACTGTAACTCTGGAATGCTAGCTCCACCTTTTCAAACCAACTCCTGTCTACACTGAGGCAGTGAGTAAAAATCTCAATATCATTGAAAATGGATGATGACATACAAGTTAAAGGGATATTCTAACGTAAATTTAAGTTAGGGTCAAACACGCCGGAATTACCCTTTAATTTTGTTTATTAGTAGAATAGATGCACTTGTAACATTTATGACTGTATATATTTTGTTGCTAATATATATATTTTTACAAGGCTGTAAACATGTGTATTGTTACTATATAAATTGATTTATGTAAATGAGTGTGTATGTGACTTTGGGGGCTGTCATGACCAACCTCTAGTGGGTACTTGAGGAACTACAGTTTTGGCACCTCTGCACTGGCTTCAAGACTGCAGGTTTCTGTTTGGTCTTAAAATATTAGAGTGCTCAAGCGTCTGAGAGCACAGTCATATTGTTCCTGGAAATCACAGTCCAGCATCCTAAAACCTCAGTTAAGACTGACATTACTCCAAGAAAAATCAAATCACACATGAGCTATATCTTCTGCACCTGACTTTCCAGCTTACATAGACTGAGAAAACAGTTACTCTTACTCAGCTGGGAATCTACATTTTTTCATATTAAAAACAAAGCCCATGCCTACCGCTCATGGGGTATTAAGAAGCTTTCATAAAAGCAGGAAAGTAAAGTCAAATCTGTGCACTTTTTGACGATGTTCTCATTGTTTCCTCACACGTCTTTTTTCCTAAGTTGGTGAAAACTTGTATGGATCTCCAACTTTCCCACTTCATCTTTAGATGTAATGATCCATCAAGCTATCCAAGTACCAATTGTGGTTTTATTCCCTCCAAAACAAAAAAAGAAAAGCATGAGAAATCAAAGTAGCCTGTAACACGGCAAATCAAAGCAAGCCTCTTTGGCCTCACTCTTTCTTACGGCACTCGCTTTGGATGGGTCAGACCACTTTTCTTTACCAGATCAACCCACCAAAGTACCGTTAAAATCTATTCCAACTTAATGGACCAAGCTGGGCAAAGGTTGGCCATCTTGAATAGAGCTGGGGACTGGGCCAGTAGCTTTCAGCACTGTTTGTTTACGGCAGCTGCTGCTTCGAGGCTCAGAGCCAAGCAGAGCAGTGCGACACAGCTGTCCCCTGAGCCAGAGCACGGTGGCTCGCCACATGCCTGCGGGGGCCTCTTGGCCTCAGAGACCTGCTGTCCCTGTGGTGGAAACCTCCTCCCAGAGGAAAAAACAGGGGGATATATAAAACCTGCTTTATCTTCTCCTCCCTCCAGCAGGTTTCATTACAGCTGGATGAAACACAATCCTTTCAAAACAGTGTTCACACCAGCTGTAATTAGGAGTTTAAAGGTAGAGCCAGAGGGCGGCTAAATCTCCTCTCTGCAGTCACTTTTGGGATCTGAATTTAGCCATGTTATAATCAGAAGCTAAGTATACATTTATGACAACAAAGTCTTTGTGAAAAAAGGGATTTAACTTTAAAAGGAAACCTGCAAATGTTTGTGCAGAGTGCATATATCAGCCTGAACCATCAGCATTTTTAAAAGCCCTCAGTGCTCATTTGTTTTTATATAAGCAAACTCGTGTGGTTATGAATCTAAACTCACAATCAAAGAGGATTTGTATACATACACAAATCCTGTTTGCACCTGAACAGAGAAATAGTCAAGGACTCGTTCCATCCAGCCACACCACTTTAATCCTGCTGCTCTCTGGGTATTAACACAGATCAAAAAGCAGAAATTCACACTAAAACAGTTCAATCAGAACTTTTCTAGCCAAAAAAGAAACTCTCCTTTGCCTGTAATAACTTAGATGACTTCCAGGGCCTAAAGCAAAAATGCCTTAAAGCAGACATAACTCTGCTGCGGAAATCACTACATGAGCTCTTTCCAAAAACCACTGTGTGTCATTTTGGTGTTACATCCATCAATGCCTCTAACTGTACCATACAAATAGGAAACCATATATAATAGAAATGAAGGAAATGCATGCAACTTCTTTGGGCCCAACCACCCAAGTTGGACTGAGGTGAAATGGAAAACTGTCCTGTGGTCAGACAAATTAAGGTTTGACGTTCTTGGGAATCATGGACTAAGCAGCTTCTGCTTTAAAAAATAAAAAAGGAGGAACTAACCAAGACCGAAAAATACCCATCTATATGGAGATGCATAAATGGGTGACTTACAGAGCCCAAAGGGCACAATTTATACAGAACAATATATACAGAGTTTACAGCAACATTTGCTGCCATCCAAACAGACTTTTTCAGGGAAGACCTTCATATTTCAGCAAGACAGTGCCAAAGGTCATTCTGCTCATATTACAACAGTATGGCTCTGTCGTAGAGGAGTTCTGGTGGTAAACTGGTCTGTCTCTGATACAACTATCAAAAAGTAGCTATAACAGCTATAGAGTTCAAATGATTTTAGAAAAATTTATGATGAACATTTTACGCAGCATTTCAACTGTTTTTGGAAATGGGGTTGTACTTGTATTCATTGAATAAGACACACACAACTACATTTCTTTCTTGGACCTTCACTTACATGAATAACTAACTGACTAGCTGTTGAAAAAGTAATCCCTGAAGACAGTTTCTTCCTCGGCATGTTGCGGCAATATTAAGCTCTGTTGCTGTTTAACTAAAGCCAACTTAATCCTAAAGGAGCTGCTGATATCATCACAGCTGAGCACATCTTCTGTGTGCATTTGGAAGGATTAAACTAACACAAAGACAGATTATCCTTTTACCTCTACAAATTTAGATTTATAATGTTTGCAAGATTTCAGCTAATGTACTTTGTTTGATTTTATTCACCGTCATCATCTGCTGAGTCACTTTTTTACACATGCGAAAAAAAATTTCTTGTTTCATTGAATAAATGACGCCAAACCTTTGAATAAACAATCTCACAGGAGTCAAAGGAGGTGGATGAGTTTAATCCCATACTCACAGGGTGTAGTTACATGAGTTCCAGTTTGTTATATTGTGTAACTGAACAAACCACTCTAATAAAGCAGACTGTGAAATCAGCTGAAAGCAGGTGCATTATTTTTCATTTCATACTAAACTCATGTTGCCTGTAATTCTTAAAGAGCTTCTTATCACTTCCAACAAATACACAATTGTTCCAAGTGTTGCCTCCAAGACAATATCCCCATCAGTCACACCTCAAAACACTGAAGGCTTTTATGACCGTGAAAATGGTGAGAACCATTCTGCGCAGCCAGTGCCGTCATGTGACTCTGAATGAAAGACTTTGGAGCAGAGCCTGACGCAGTGTTTTCCACCAGCATGAACACAGCATCAAATAATTGTTTGTTTTGGAAAGAGACTTTCGCATGCTGCCAAAAGACTTCCAGTTTCTCCCGCAACTAATTGAAAACACCTCAGCAGTCCAACATGTCTGGTGGAGTCCAAAATCCCAACAGACCCTCTGTGTTGATGTTAAATAGTTTTATTGTATGAGCATTGACTTTTCTATGCTGGACTGAAAACTGTGATTACACAGGCATTAAACACACATCTGCTGATCTACTATACACATGAAAGAAAATATGGATTATGTACGACTGTATATAAATGTCAGTTTCTGTTTACATGGATGAGTATATACGCAGTTTATGGTTTAAAATGTTCATTGATAAGAAAAAGTGCTGAGAGGAATCTATAAATTTTCAAAATCACAGTCAAAGTCTGTCCACCTGCACAGGATGTACTTCCACTGCCGATCTCTGAAACACAGCAAGAGACAAAATCCTGTCAGTTCAACAATCCTAAATTACTAAACTCTGTCGCAACTAAGCAGCTGTAAATTCTTGTGTCACAGGTCATACTGTAGAGACATGTTCTTCCAGCTCAGCCCAGAGAGGATTTAGACATTTTCTGGACATTATAAGATCCAAATGGATACTCATGAGGTAAAAAGCTATAAAGAAAGAAAACAGATGCTGTGAGCAAACCTCAGCACTCCACTGAAGGTAGTCTGAGCTCCTCGGACGAAGTAGCCATAACTGGGAACCACCAGCTCCCCCTCCTCTCTGTGATATTCAGGGATGTCGTTAGTTTTCCTGTAAATACAATCAAAGTTGGTGTTATTTGGCAACTTGAGATAAAATATAAAACCTTTAAAGTCCTTTAAATGGTAATTCATCATTTTGAGTCCAGTGTAAGTTCAGGCAGGCCACAGCAGTCAAGCTCAGCCAAAAGTACATCTGGTTTAAACATCTGTCCATCTCTATAGATGAACTCGCACTGCCTTGTTTTTTTCACTGTCACGACCTTTACCGTGTAGAGTGATGTTCTCATAGGTTTATGTGACAGAGCATTTTGTGGAAGCAGAAGGAAAAATCAAATGTGCTTGACTTTCAGTCAGGAGGTTGTGAGGTGTCCTGGATTTGTTTTTTTAATGTCATTCACTGTGACACCCCATGCAGGATAACGCAATTCATTTTCTGGGCCAAAAGGTCCCAAAACATGACGTCTATTGGATCAGACTGTCATTATGCTAACCTGTTGTCTGACTTTTGCATAGCACCAGAATTAAACCCCAAACTGCTGCTTTTAAGGCCATATATGGACATATGCTCAGTATGTTGCTGAAACCAGGATTTACTCCCTTTAGCATGATTCATAAACTGAACACAGGTGCAGGCAGCCAACATGGCTCTGTCCAGGTGACAAGATGGAAAATCCTACCAGCCAACACCTCTAAGGCCCTTTTAGTGACTCATTTTGGACTGACTCTTTTGAATGAACAACAGTCACTTTGTGTTGACAGCTGATGGAGATGGTGGCGAGCAGAACTGGCAGGCTCGTTTGTCTCTGGTTTCCTTCCTCGCTGAAACTTTCACCATGATCCAACCTGTCTGGCATATCTGCATTGCTGATTTTATTCACCGAATTACAACTGAAGCATCATTTCATTGCCATTTGGCTCCACTGGGAAACAAACTGGAGCCTGTAAGCATTTCCAAAATTGACTGTACCAATACACCTACTGTAAGACTTAAAATCCCAGACTTTGGTTATAAAGGGGATGTCTCCATTAAGTTAATACTGACATTTTTTACAGCATTTTTAATGCTCAACAGTAAACAATAACGTTGGTCTAGCTGTTGTGCTTCAATTTCAGCCAAGCTTCACTTTTTAGGAACACAAGTTTTCACCCTCTGCAAGTTGTAGTAAAAATCATCATTATTCATTCTGCATCTTGTCTTTTTTTCAGGTGTTAATATTTAGGACTTCTTTCTCAGCTGAGAGCAGTGAGGACTTGGAGTCTGTGCTAGCAAACCCGCAACTAAAAACTAGTCTGAGATCACCTCTATAAAACCAGGAGATTGTCTATGATATTGTTTGGGTTGATTAAATCCTGCGACTTTAAGCCAAGCCATGGTCCTTAATTCCCTTCTCTACCATTCAAGTTAGTTGGGTTTGCAACCTGTTGGCTCTGCTTCATTTGTTCACAATGCATTTGAAAGAAATTACTCTTACTAGGATTAAGATTGTTTTACAGGTCACAGTATTTCACAGGTCATTGCTGAGAACCTACATGCAGGAGTAGGGACAGCGCCGTTTGTAGTAGCAGCAGTAAAACTGCCATTCCCGGTCCAGGACGGATTCAAAGTACTTGCTCTGCACTCCTGCTACAATCCCATTACGAGTGCATGTTGAGGTCCTGCAAAGACACACAAGTATTCAAATTAAAGCAGTAGTGCGTAAAAACAGATCATGGAAAAACAACCTCTACTCTTTTAATGCAGGAAAAAATAAAATTTTAAGTTCCTGTTAGTAACTTTTTGATTGTGTAGATTATGGCGCCCCCTGTGGATGAAGCAGTCTTGGCTTGTATTCTCCTTTACATGCTAAAATAGTGGCTTCCCACAAAAAATGTCATCCTGCTGACTTGTGACAATTAAAACCATATTTATTGAGAGTATTTGCTAGCTGCTCCCCTGACCCCTTCCCCACTCCAGTAGTTTCAGGCATTAAAAATATCAGCATAATATTTGTCATTCCTGTTGCTAATGGTCTTGTTTGCTTCTTTAGATCAGAAAGATGCATTAATATAAATTCAGTCTTCTTTATAAACACAAAGAAAACTCCTCACAGGAGTGTAAGGGAGTTCACACGAGTTAAGTCACTGAAAAACCTTTAAGGCCATGAAATATGCATCTTTATTGTTTGGGTAAATACTGGTTTGTTGACAGTGCAGCTTGTTTATGGCCCTCAGAATTCACTGTCGCCACAACAGATCCCAGAATACCAGGTCCAAGCAGCAGGAGCTGCACAATGTGAAGACGCTCGTCATGGCAACACGGGGCCAGCCGTCAGCCATTCGGCCAATGGGGGTAGTTCCCCTGAAGGGTAGTGCAGCAGTGTAATTTAGATAGACAGCTATGTTAAAGAGGCAGGCGTGGCAATAAAAGAGTGCTCACTGAGTTTGTCTTTGCTGTGGAGCTCAACATGAAAGATCTCTGCAGAGCAAAAACCTCTGCATCCTGGAAAAAGAAATGTGAAGCAGATACAGCTGAGTCAAAAATCTGTTTGGTTCCAGCTGTTGTTTGCATGAAGACGTCCAGCTGTGATCCCCCTCTCCAAAACAGTCAATGCCATTTCTTTAAACAAACCAGATGAGTGTTGGTTGAATCTTGTTTACATGATGTCTACGCAGTGACTGCACAGAAAGCTGCACAAAAAGAGAAAAATTCTGGAACAGTAACTTGTTATTTGATGGAAAAGACACAGCTTGCTGAATTCTTGGATAATAATTTTATGGCTTTGGTTTAATCTAGTTATATGTCTTTGGAGATGGTCATGCTCCAAAGATCTGTCAAGTGTGGCTGTTTGGCAGTGAGGGGGTGATTCATGTAGGCCCAGGAGGACCCGGCTGATTTCTTCTGGACGGGAAAGCAATTGAACAAATTTTTATGAAAGTAAAAAATAAAAATAAAAAAGATTCACATGTGGAAAATCTGACTCATTTTTTTCATTTTCCTGTGCGGTAGCAGAGGGGCGTCAAGATGTCTGAATCAGTTTTGAGGTTGCATCGGATTTTTTCCATTCAAAATTGGCAGAATTCTTTCCTGGATCCGATAATCGAGTTTTGAAGAAGGGATTTACTGGAATCAAAACTTCAAAAAAAAAAAAAAAAAAGTTAAAGTCTTTGGTGAAGTGTACATCATGATCTGTATTTGTGTTTCATTTAACCTTTGAATCATATTCTATTGGCCACTTCTCCTCTCATGTTAAAGTTTTAGCATAGCATAAGGCTAAAACTCTGATACTGATCTGAACATGTTGCCAGAAATGCTGCTTTTGTAAAACATGGAAGTAGCAATATAGGTTGCTGTAAAATCACACCCAAGAATTTCTGTCATTTTCATTTATAATCTAAACTAATCTCTAAGGAGGATGTGTTTTAAATGAGCAAGTGCAGTTTGGTTAGGTTTGACATGTACTCACTGTGTGAATGTGTTCAAGGGCTGTATCCTTCCAAGCCCACTGAGGCGTGTCGCTTTCTTTTAGATTGCATCCGAAGTGGTCATTATGTTATGGTTGACAGGTATATTACAGTATGTGTTCTATATTTAAAAGTTAATTGGCCTGTTGCTGTCATGCACATTTTGCAGGTGTGATCAGGAAAAAGGCCTGAAATCTGAGACTCATCTTGTGGTCCTGCTCTCACTTCTCCAGTGTACACTGTCAGCTGACCATGTTTCTAACATGCCAGAAATTCACCCAGACTGTCAGCAGCAGCTTATTACCCACCGACTGGCCATTGTGCCCCATGTGAGCTGCACAGTCCATAATGCGCAATTAGGCTTAATTCTGGCCCTACTTTAAAAATCACCTGTGCAATTCAAAAATCAAGATACAATCAGTTTCAATATTTATAGTGTATGCCTGACCTACGCCTTGCAGCTCAAGAACTATGTGGCACAAGCCAACTTCTGCAGAAGCACAGTTTTTCTGCTATAATCAATTCAAATTTTAGTTTGTTAATTTACACCTGCTACAAGCTTTTATTATAGAAAAAAGATTAACTTGAACATGCAGAGAGCTAGAGTATGATAACTGACATCCTCTGGTTGCAGCTGCACCCTTACTAAGTCTCTATATGGGCACTTGAGGTTTTCCATTTGTGTGTAAGCCACACACCCAGCAACAACACAGTGGTTTTGTTCATACAACAGCTTCTACTCAGGCCTCGTATGGGCCTTTGTTGTCTGCTAATAGTGACATTTAACAGCCTGTATTGTTGGTCACATTATGTCCTAAAGAGGAGAGACACCGTCCAGTAATTATGCTGTTTTTATCTTTGATCTGCGCCTCCTGTTGATTGGAACAATAAGCCTTGAAAGGGGTAAAGTTGTGCGAGCTGTGTGGCTGTCTCATGTGCAATAAATGTCCTTCTTGATGCTAATCAGGGCCTTGGAGGACAGAATCATACCACTCAGATGTCTGCAGCTGCTGCAATGGGGAAAAGAAACCTATGAAATAAAGTTTACTGCAGCTTTTACTGAACACCTGTAATCTGACTCAGATGTTCCAGAGTGATGGATTTACTCATTTCCTTTCACTTCATCTCTGAGTTATGGAGTCATAAAGCATTCAGCATTATTTATTCATATTATTACAGTTGAAATCCCTGTCGACCTAGGCAGCCTGAATAATGATGTTTGCAGTGAGATTGTTAGCAGGAGAAAACCATTAAGTTCATCTGAGTGAGTGCTGTGCATCTCTGTGCAATAGTGTATCAACAAAGCATCTGAAATTGAACTCCCTAAACTCCAAGTGAAATCAAATCAGTGCAGCTTGAACAGTATTCAAACATTCAATATTCTCTTCCTCCAAACATTGCAATCATCACACTTGTTGATCTTAACTCAAACCCTGAACAGATGTGTTTGTCTCACAGCTAGTCTCAGCTCAAAACTCTAAAATTCAGAGAAATAAGGAAGTCAGGAAGTAAAAACAGACCCACCACTCCAACCCAGCTCGGTTTATGTCGTCCCACCAGCAGTCACTTGGCTGTCCCAGACCCTCAGGTGTGGGCTGGCACTCAAATGACCACAGGCGGTCCATGCCATCAGTCTCGCTGTAGTAGCTCCTGGCTGCCACGAGGACCTCACCGTGGGGACACTGGAAGTTAAAGCTCTGCCGGTATCCGTTGACCCAGCCCATGTCATGGTGGTCCTGAGACTGAGCCCCCGCTGCAGCCAGCAGGGACGCCAACAGCACCAGAGCAGGATTCATGTTGAAGAAGTCGGTCTGTCTGACGTGTCTCCTCACAGCTGCCTCGATTTAAACTCCTCCAAATCTTTTGTTATCCAGATGTTTTGTATCCATCGGTGATGTGTAATTTGGTGCTTATGGGACAGGTCCAAAAGTGGACCTTGGTTGACATTTTTAAGGTGGACTCAGAGACAGAGCGTTAACAGAGTTTCACCCCAGACACGGTGTCACCTTAAAAGACATCTCTCTTAGATTATATGCCAGTGAAAAATTTATGTGACTCTTTATTTGACTCTGGAGAACGTGTTCACGTGTTCCATCCACTTCTCAGGCTGTAAACTTTGCAGTCTGAAACCTTTTGGTATTCAGGACTTTACAGTTTATTTTAGGACTGTCAAAAAGAAACATTTTATTATCTAGAGCATAATTCAATGTTTTGGCAAACAGACATTAAATAAGGACAGTTTCATTTTTTAACATCCTTGAAAATCTTGAATGTTTGTTAAATTTGAATGTGAATATTTAACTGAGAAATGCCTCACTACTAATAGTTTCTTTTTAAGGAGAAAGTCCTTATGTCAGCCCTTGTGGGTTTCATACATCTCTTGCACACATCCAGTCATAACCTGTTGTTATTGTTATTTTGTGGTGACATATAAAAATATTGACATAACATGAAATGAGATCACAGGTATCAAAAATTAAAGCTTTGGCCAAAATAATCAAAGTGCACTCAGAAAAGGATAGAACTTTATTCACTATGCAGGTGATCCCCTACTATTTTAAAGAATCCCAAGACAACATATAAACATGTTAACAGTTTCCTGCCATGAAGTACATACATGATAGACAAGTCCAGTAATTTTCAATTTTCAAGATCTGAATGTCCTGAAACTTGTAAAAATGGCTGAAATTGTCTGAAGTGGCCTTCAGATTTCTGAGTTTGAGGCCTCTCCATCAGCTTTGATCAGGTCCACAGTCATAGTGGTCTGAAGTGTATTTTTTTACCAACCTCATCATTGCCTGTCTTCTGTCATCATTTGACTACATCAATACATTACCCAACCGTACATTAGGATAATTGAATAAAAGTCTCAGAGAGGTCATTCTGCTTTACTTCCTCCACCACAGCTGCAGTGAACCATCCATTACAACTGTAATACACAGATGGATAAAACTGTTCTGCACAGACAAAGATCACTAAGTGCTAACATGATCCTTGCATTCTGCAGAAACCTCACAAATGGACAAGCTTAGGATCTCTGATGCATTTTCTGCATTACAAGATTACAGAGTCATTAGATTTTCCACAGCCTCTCCTGTTCTTGTGAAATGACGCTCTTTAAAAAGATCTTTAGCACACTAATTAGACTGTGTCAAAGAATGATCTCAAGATTTTTATGGGCTGTGGGGCGTTAGAGTTGTATGCAATAGTGTGGCTTTCAGTGATGCTTGCATATTTATGTTGTTATGAAAGATTTAGAAGACGTCAGCGAGACTCAGAGGAGAATAATGATGACATTTAGACTTTAACTTGTACAGTAATTATGTCCCAGATTATATCAAGACATTAGCTGACAATTACATGTCAGTTTTGACTGTCTGTGAGAAGATTTGTTGCTTTTGGTTGGTGTACACTTTAAAAGTTGTGGCTTTTGTATTGCACAGACACAACTCCAAATTTGAACATTTCATCTGGCTGACATCATGTAGCATGTAAGTGAAAATGCACCATCATACATTCAAACCATATACTGAATGACCACTCTGATATAAGAAACATTCAAATTAAAGTCTGATTCACAGTCAAAAAAAAATAGATTTGGGAATCCTACAATTAAATAGGATTTCCAAAAACCCAAAGACTTAAAGGGATATTCCAGCGTAAATTTAATTTAGGGTCAAACACACCATAACACCGAGTTAGACACCCCCTTGAGAGATGAATGTTGCCGACTGTTTGCTTTTCTAGTTCCACCAACTTCAGCAAAGATTGCACGATAGCAATACACAGCGGTCTATGGATCCACACGCAAACCTCAACCAAAAAGCCACTCTATAGCCACAAATAAACCTCAGAACAGCACCTCACTTCATCAACAGTACACACAGGGTCCCAGCCATAATGCTAGCCACCAAACATCTTTTTAGCTTTGCCTAGCTTTTCTTCAGTAAAGAGACTAAACACAACTCACCCATTCTGCTCCAGCAGCCGCTTGTTTGTAGGGGAGCCCTGACGAGTCAACCACTGAGTGCAGCAGAGTTCTGCAATCACAGTTTTTGTGTATTTTGTATGCGCATTTGGCATGCGGTATTTAGCATCTTGGTCTGATTGCATTTCCATGAGTTAATAACCATAATTTCTTCCTTGAGCTGCAGAACTCCACTGCACTCGGTAGTCGACTCGTTAGGGCTCTCTGAAGCTTTTCTTTGGAGTTTTAAGGAGTCTTTCAGAGATCTTGAAAACGTTTCTCAAGGATTTGATAAAAAAAAGATTGGAAGGATCTTGAACAAGCTTATGGAGAGCTAAAAAAAAAAGTTCCTCAGAGATCTTGTTGAAACTGACAAACTTCCAGTCTTGTAGGTTTGATTTATAGACACTTATCCTAACTGTGTCCAGCTCACTGAGATGAAGTGTTGTTTAAAAAGGGTTTTGTGGCCATTGAAAACTCTTTCGGAAACACTTTGTTGGCTTTGATAAGTGAAGGTCAAACTCAGGTTGATTGTTGTTTGCCTGAGAATGTGATCTCATGTGAAAGATCGTCCTCAGAGCTTCCAAAAATAAATAACAGACTACGTTCAGGAGCAGCGAGTCAGTCTCTGCATGAGGAGTTCCACAAAAGTCAAAATGGAGCAGAACTGGTGGGTATTTATAGACGCTATTGTCTATTTAAAAATCTCTATTTAGAGCAGAGCTGTTGGCTCTCAGGGAATGTAGGGCCTCATTCACAACACTCTAATCGACTGTGACACAGACAGACAGAGATCACACTGAGAGGTCTCTGAAAGATTTTACACATAATATTTCAGTTCAAAAATCAACCTCAAGTGAACTTTAACATGAAAATGGACAGATACTGCTGGTTAAGCATTGAAAAAATCTTGAACCACTCACAAAACGTCAAATCAAATCAAACACACAGTCAAGTTGCATGAAAGCAGAGTTCAGTTCTCTTTGAAAACACCCCAGTGTTGTTTTTGAGTGTAAAAACCTCACAGAAACAACATCTTTGGGTCAGATGTGCACAAACGAATGCCAGCCTCCTCTTGGATTCAAGTATTTAGGTGCGTCATTGCACATCTGTTTTTCATTTCATCAAACACAAGTTTTCACTTAGTCCATATTCACAAGACAACACATAGGCCTTTTAAAAAGTGTCTGTCTGTGTATGAGACCTCAGCCTCTTTCGTACATGCACACCTGAAATGTCTGGAAATTTTCAGGAGCCAAGGGATGAGAACACCACCATTTTGATTTGTACACTTTCTTATGATTATGTCCTTTATTCTTCTGTATAGGTTTTGTTTACCTCTCCACTTCCTGGCAACAAATTTACTCTATTCAGCATGTGAACTCTGGTACATGTGCAGAACACACTGGCCAGTTTCAGTCTAAATGAGCTGTATTCGTGGAAGAGTGTAATGTTTACAGCGTGCTTTATGTTGACAGTTTTTGCATTTATGTTTCATGCAAACAGACAGATATGCTAACATCTTCGCTGTTCTCTTGGAAATTATTAACCTTCCTCATCCCTTGTTTCCATTTACACTGCAACCTCTGGTCTAGAGAAATGAAGCTGATGTGGCAGTGCTAAAAATTGCAGTTCCCTGAGCACCAGAGACCATGTACACACTGGGCAGCAAAAATCTGTGCAACGATCTGTGATTCTTCTTCTATATATTTGCTTCTTTGTTTGGATGAGGTCTGTGCACCAAGTAAAAACAGTGTTCAACAAAGTTAAAGAAATTACACAATATTACAAAAAAATCAAATTATTCCTTGCACTCATCCTCACTTTCATTTGTTCATTACTCAGCATCTCTTGCTAATTATCACCTCATCATCTTGTACAAGCATCTATTTAAATGTGATAAGACATTTATCTGTAACAAGGATGGATGTCAGAGACTGTGAACAAATTAAAAAAAAACATTTCTTGTTCGTATCAGGTCATAAACACTGTCTAACAGTCTCAGCAAACACTTTAATATGTGTTTGCAGGTGTAGCTGGAGTGTGGTTAAAGAAAAGACACCAAAGCACAAAGATTTCTCTATTAACTCTGATTTGCACTCAACAGCCACATTTATTACCAAACTACAATACTGCAGAGTTTCTGGACTGCACAGTCATATCCAAACTAACATTAGGCAGACTTCATGTAACGATAACAACCAGATAATTATTTATCTGCAGAGTTCCTGTAGTTACCATAAATCAAACCTTTTACCTTGTGCCCACTAAAGCAATGATCTCATGTGCATAAAATAATCTTACTATCATCACTGTCACGGGAGGAGGTTATTATCTTATGCACATTATTCAATTATCTTGAGGGAATAAGTAATTCCACAGTGTGCACAAGGTAGAAATATATTGCCTTTTTTGGCTTGAAAACAGTCTTGGTTGCATCTTAAAAACATGTAACATGTTCGTGTTAAGGTTAGCAAGGGTACAAGGCCTGCCTCTGGATTCTGACTCAGCATTTCCAATATGGCGACAGCCGGAGATACACTTCATAATATCTTGTTTGCACAATGTAACTATCTTTGGGAAACTACACTGCAAAAACTTAAATATTAGCAAATGTATTTGTCTTATTTCTAAGGAAAAGTGTCACATTAGATGTAATTTAAAAAACATTTACCTGATAATTCTAGAAAAATATCTTATTTTTAAGGATTGCACCCCAAAAATAAGAGCTGAATTACCTTTAATTAATAAATAATATATATGAAAAATTTACTTTTCAAGTTTTAGAAAATAAAGTTAAAGGGGACCTGCCATCAAAATTTCATACCTATTTTTATCATTTTTTTCATAATCCTTGATGTCCTC